CATAGTATAATCCTTGACTTACTAAGCAATTAGATAGTACAAATGGGTACTATTCACTTTATAGACCGAAAAAATTAAGCCAAAAAAATAATTTAAATATTCCTAGACCTAGTATAGTACATATATGTACTATATTAGGCCTCAGATATCGCGTATTAGGCCTAGGAGAGGTTGGATTAGTTTGTCTTTGCAGCATAAATTGAAAATATTTTTTTCCGGTTTGTCCAAATTCAATAGTACCGATTTCTACTTTCTAACCTCGTAGTACGTCGGTATATGTACTATAAGGAGCCGGTCGGCCGAGTGGACAGCACACTGTACTTGTGATCCTGTGGTCCTGGGTTCGATTCCAGGCGCCGGCGAGAAACAATGGGCAGAGTTTCTTTCACCCTATGCCCCTGTTACCTAGCAGTAAAATAGGTACCTGGGTGTTAGTCAGCTGTCACGGGCTGCTTCCTGGGGGTGGAGGCCTGGTCGAGGACCGGGCCGCGGGGACACTAAAGCCCCGAAATCATCTCAAGATAACCTCAAGATAAGATAGTCCTCATCATTACTACAAGAACAGCCAATACACGAGGCTGGTCTGATTTATTAAAATTAAAGTCTTCATTGTCATATAATTTATGATCTTAAATTTATTAAACGATTTGGGTGATGCACAATACTTTTTTGTACAATCTGAAGTACCAGAAAAATACACCAATGTATGTTTATACATTTTCCAATTTAAGAGTCAAAATAATGTATTTTAACTAGGCCTAATTTTATAAACTTGAGGAAGGCAATCTGGAACATGTTAAATGGAGATATTTAATTGTTTTGTGAATGTTTAGGTAAATGTTTATACTCATTCAACATGAGGGGCCCTCATACCCAACATGAGGGGCCCTCATACCCAACATGAGGGCCCTCACACACCCAACATGAGGCCCCTCACACACCCAACATAAGGGCCCCTCACACACCCAACATAAGGGCCCCTCACACACCCAACATGAGGGCCCCTCACACCCAACATGAGGCCCCTCACACACCCAACATAAGGGCCCTCACATACCCAACATGAGGTCCCTCACACACCCAACATGAGGCCCCTCACACACCCAACATAAGGGCCCTCACATACCCAACATGAGGTCCCTCACACACCCAACATAAGGGCCCTCACACACCCAACATGAGGCCCCTCACACACCCAACATGAGGGCCCTCACACACCCAACATGAGGGCCCTCACATACCCAACATGAGGGCCCTCACATACCCAACATGAGGGCCCTCACACACCCAACATGAGGCCCCTCACACACCCAACATAAGGGCCCCTCACACCCAAGATGAGGGCCCTCACACCCAAGATGAGGGCCCTCACACACCCAACATGAGGTCCCTCACACACCCAACATAAGGGCCCCTCACACACCCAACATAAGGGCCCCTCACACACCCAACATGAGGGCCCCTCACACACCCAAGGCCCCTCACACACCCAACATGAGGCCCCTCACACACCCAACATAAGGGCCCTCACACACCCAACATGAGGGCCCTCACACACCCAAGATGAGGCCCCTCACACACCCAACATGAGGCCCCTCACACACCCAACACGAGGCCCCTCACACACCCAACATGAGGGCCCCTCACACCCAACATGAGGCCCCTCACGCACCCAACACGAGGCCCCTCACACACCCAACACGAGGCCCCTCACACACCCAACACGAGGCCCCTCACACACCCAACATGAGGGCCCCTCACACCCAACATGAGGGCCCTTACACACCCAACATAAGGGCCCCTCACACACCCAACATAAGGGCCCCTCACACACCCAACATGAGGCCCCTCACACACCCAACATGAGGCCCCTCACACACCCAACATGAGGGCCCCTCACACCCAATATGAGGCCCCTCACACACCCAACATAAGGGCCCTCACATACCCAACACGAGGCCCCTTACACACCCAACATGAGGGCCCCTCACACCCAACATGAGGGCCCTCACACACCCAACATGAGGGCCCCTCACACCCAACATGAGGCCCCTCACACCCAACATGAGGCCCCTCACACCCAACATGAGGCCCCTCACACCCAACATGAGGCCTCACACACCCAACATGAGGGCCCCTCACACCCAACAAGAGGGCCCTCACACACCCAACATGAGGCCCCTCACACCCAACATGAGGGCCCTCACACACCCAACATAAGTGCCCCTCACACACCCAACATAAGTGCCCCTCACACACCCAACATAAGGGCCCCTCACACCCCCAACATGAGGGCCCCTCACACCCCCAACATGAGGGCCCCTCACACCCCCAACATGAGGGCCCCTCACACACCCAACATGAGGCCCCTCACACACCCAACATGAGGTCCCTCACACACCCAACATGAGGGCCCCTCACACACCCAACATGAGGCCCCTCACACACCCAACATGAGGCCCCTCACACACCCAACAAGAGGCCCCTCACACACTCAACATGAGGGCCCCTCACACACCCAACATGAGGGCCCCTCACACACCCAACATAAGGGCCCCTCACACACCCAACACGTGGCCCCTCACACACCCAACATGTGGCCCCTCACACACCCAACATGAGGCCCCTCACACACCCAACATGAGGCCCCTCACACACCCAACATGAGGCCCCTCACACACCCAACATGAGGCCCCTCTCACACCCAACACGAGGCCCCTCACACACCCAACACGAGGCCCCTCACACACCCAACATAAGGGCCCCTCACACACTCAACATGAGGCCCCTCACACACCCAACATGAGGCCCCTCACACACCCAACATAAGGGCCCTCACACACCCAACATAAGGGCCCCTCACACACTCAACATGAGGCCCCTCACACACCCAACATAAGGGCCCCTCACACACCCAACATGAGGCCCCTCACACACCCAACATGAGGCCCCTCACACACCCAACATAAGGGCCCTCACACACCCAACATAAGGGCCCCTCACACACCCAACATGAGGCCCCTCACACACCCAACATGAGGCCCCTCACACACCCAAGATGAGGGCCCCTCACACACCCAACATGAGGCCCCTCACACACCCAACATAAGGGCCCCTCACACCCAAGATGAGGCCCCTCACACACCCAACATGAGGCCCCTCACACACCCAACACGAGGCCCCTCACACACCCAACATGAGGCCCCTCACACACCCAACATGAGGGCCCCTCACACCCAACATGAGGCCCCTCACGCACCCAACACGAGGCCCCTCACACACCCAACACGAGGCCCCTCACACACCCAACATGAGGGCCCCTCACACCCAACATGAGGGCCCTTACACACCCAACATAAGGGCCCCTCACACACCCAACATAAGGGCCCCTCACACACCCAACATGAGGCCCCTCACACACCCAACATGAGGCCCCTCACACACCCAACATGAGGGCCCCTCACACCCAATATGAGGCCCCTCACACACCCAACATAAGGGCCCTCACATACCCAACACGAGGCCCCTTACACACCCAACATGAGGGCCCCTCACACCCAACATGAGGGCCCTCACACACCCAACATGAGGGCCCCTCACACCCAACATGAGGCCCCTCACACCCAACATGAGGCCCCTCACACCCAACATGAGGCCCCTCACACCCAACATGAGGTCTCACACACCCAACATGAGGGCCCCTCACACCCAACATGAGGGCCCTCACACACCCAACATGAGGCCCCTCACACCCAACATGAGGGCCCTCACACACCCAACATAAGTGCCCCTCACACACCCAACATAAGTGCCCCTCACACACCCAACATAAGGGCCCCTCACACCCCCAACATGAGGGCCCCTCACACCCCCAACATGAGGGCCCCTCACACACCCAACATGAGGCCCCTCACACACCCAACATGAGGTCCCTCACACACCCAACATGAGGTCCCTCACACACCCAACATGAGGGCCCCTCACACACCCAACATGAGGCCCCTCACACACCCAACATGACCCTCACACACCCAACATGAGGCCCCTCACACACTCAACATGAGGGCCCCTCACACACCCAACATGAGGGCCCCTCACACACCCAACATAAGGGCCCCTCACACACCCAACACGAGGCCCCTCACACACCCAACACGAGGCCCCTCACACACCCAACATGAGGCCCCTCACACACCCAACATGAGGCCCCTCACACACCCAACATGAGGCCCCTCACACACCCAACATGAGGCCCCTCACACACCCAACACGAGGCCCCACACACACCCAACACGAGGCCCCTCACACACCCAACATAAGGGCCCCTCACACACACAACATGAGGCCCCTCACACACCCAACATGAGGCCCCTCACACACCCAACATAAGGGCCCTCACACACCCAACATAAGGGCCCCTCACACACTCAACATGAGGCCCCTCACACACCCAACATAAGGGCCCCTCACACACCCAACATGAGGCCCCTCACACACCCAACATGAGGCCCCTCACACACCCAACATAAGGGCCCTCACACACCCAACATAAGGGCCCCTCACACACCCAACATGAGGCCCCTCACACACCCAACATGAGGCCCCTCACACACCCAACATGAGGGCCCCTCACACACCCAACATGAGGCCCCTCACACACCCAACATAAGGGCCCCTCACACCAACATAAGGGCCCCTCACACCAACATAAGGGCCCCTCACACCAACATAAGGGCCCCTCACACCAACATAAGGGCCCCTCACACCAACATAAGGGCCCCTCACACCAACATAAGGGCCCCTCACACCAACATAAGGGCCCCTCACACCAACATAAGGGCCCCTCACACCAACATAAGGACCCCTCACACACCAACATAAGGGCCCCTCACACCAACATAAGGGCCCCTCACACAACATAAGGGCCCCTCACACACCCAACATAAGGGCCCCTCACACCAACATAAGGGCCCCTCACACCCTAAACATGAGGCACTGACCTTCTAGAGCCGAAGAAGGGCCAGGGACTTTCATGAGGCAATCTCAGGGGCGAGCCAGGCACAGGGGCGGCGAACCCCGGGGGCGGCGGCCCCGGGGGCGGCGGAGGGGGGGCATGCAGCCCCATGGGGGGAGGGGGAGGGGGGCCAACTGGCCCTGTAGGGGGCGGCGGCCCCATCAACCCCCGCCCCCCTCCTGGCAGGGTAGAGTAGGGCGGGGGGACATGGGAGTGTAGCAGGTCAGGGAGATGGGCGTCGTGGGCGGCTGCGGGCGGCGGGGGGCTCGTCTCCTGCAGGTCCGTATGGCCCAGGGGCCCGGGTGGCCCACAGTGGCCCAGGGGCCCAGGGGGACCACTGTGGGCCATAGTGGACCGGTGGGCCCGACGCTCGCGCCGTTCGCGACGCCGCTCGCGGCGTCGTTCGCGTTCCCCGCGACGCGCTTCTTGGGCGTGCTGCTGCGGCTCCTGCGTCTGCGTCTGCGTCAGGGGGTGGTGTGGGGGCCGCAGCTGCGGCTCCCCCGCCGCCTGCGGCAACTGGCCAGCCACCACAACCTGATTGCTAGGCCTAGAAGGCCTGGAAGGCGGCCTCGGGGCCGGTCTCGGGGCCAGGTGGGCGCTAGGCCTGGCCTGATGGGTAGTGGGCGTGTCGTGCCCACTGGGCGTGGGCGTAGGCGTGGGCGTGGGCACAATCCTCACACTGGACACTTTAGTGAGGGCACTCACAATCGGGGCGGCTGTAGTGGTAGGCGCGCCGCACAACACAACACTCGACACACTGGCACCGCTCAGTAGGGGCACTCTAGACACTCGGGCACTGGTGGGCATCCTCGAAGTGCCCGCAACGGATACACTAGCGGCAGCGGAGGGCCGCGTGGCTCCCCCTGCCATGGCTGGACGTATACTGCCTCCCGCACGCCCCGCCGACCCCCTCCCAGACACCGTTTTCTCCTCGGCGCCCGTTTTCTGTGGGGTGCCGCAGGGCGCGACGCCAGCCCCAACTGTGTTAATTTCGACGCCGGCCGCCATCCGGCCTCCTTCAAACTCCCCTAACTCCGCGCTACCGCCTTTATCGGCGGGTTTTCCGCTTGCTTTATCATCCCTACTTGATGAGTCGTCTCTGTCGTCGACGTGTGAGTCGTCTTGCTGCGGTAAACTAGCGCGGCGGGCATGGGTGGTGAGTATGGGCGTGGGCGGGAGAGACTTAGGCTGCCGCCTGACGGAGGACATGTGTGTCCTATCGTCGACGCCCACAACGGCACGTCGGCAAGCATGTCTCGCTTCGCCGAGGGATTCCAAGTCGAATCCCACGTTGTCGAAGCCCCCGGCGTAGTTGCGGTTGGGCACGGGGTAGGGAGGCAGGTGGCGAAGCAGCAAGGAAGCGTCAAGAGGGCAGGGACCTCCTCCAGGGGGCTCCAGGAGCACCATGTGAGATATCTTGCACGGGTCAACCATCTTGCAAGCTCCTCCTCACATCCCAGCTTCCACTCCCATCACCGTCCTGCTCGCACGCACGCACGCACAACCTGTCGGACCAAAAGCATAACATTTTAACATTAACCAACTTTATCAACACATTGCAATCTTATCAATACATACTGGCAGTATTAACCACATATATACTAAACAACATTAACCACTCCCACCACCACACATGTTGCAGCATTAACCACATATGTTGCAGCATTAACCACATATGTTGCAACATTAACCATATATGTTGCAACATTAACCATACACGTTGCAACATTAACCACACATGACAACATTTACCACACGAGTCATTTAACACCAGACAAAAAAAATCTTGAAAAAAAGTCTAATACGATCCAATTACAAATATAATTGACTTATACCTATGCCGTTTGACGAACAACAACAGCTCTGTGAATCATCCCAATATCCCGTCTCCTTGTTGAGCTCAAATTAGCCAAAACAAATTATTTCAATTAGATTATTTAAACTAATTATGATCAGCTGTCACACGAAAACATGTCCATACTGACTTGAATATATTTACATTATTATTATTATTATTATTTTTATTATTATTTTTATTATATTAATATGTACTGTAGTTTATTAGTTAATAAATATTCTTGCTGGGTAGAGGTGTTGACAAGTGGTTGAGGAAGTGGTTTAGGCCACCGGGTGCTGTCGGGAATTGGGTTAAAGAGTCAGACGACTTGCCACTTGAGCTGGATGGTAGAGCGACGGTCTCGCTTCATGCAGGTCAGCGTTCAATCCCCGACCGTCCACACAAGTGGTTGGGCACCATTCCTTCCCCCCGTCCCAGTTCTATATAGTCGTAATGGCTTGGCACTATGGCTGTCCGTTCTCAGGCAACAATGTTCAAAACCATTTAGAAGAACTTCTATTTCATTTAGAACTGGTTTGAATGTAACTTATTATTTCATAACTGATGAGCTAATATCAGTTAACTAATTCCCAGGCGATTTTGACTGTTGGGTAAACAGAGGCATCAGATTTCTAAAAAAACAAAAACCGTGCCCAAACGTCTCGGCCAGCCCTGGTTGTGGCCCTGGGGATGGTCCTGGGTGTTCCGGGTTCCGCAACGTCCAGAAAACGGTCATTTTAAAGTGGTCACCCCTAACCTACCAGAGGACCCACAACAGAAAACGGTCAATTTAAAGTAGTCTCCCCTCACCTACCAGAGGACCCACAACAGAAAACGGTCAATTTAAAGTAGTCTCCCCTAACCTACCAGAGGACCCACAATAGAAAACGGTCAATTAAAAGTGGTCTCCCCTAACATACCAGAGGACCCACAACAGAAAACGAGACAGTATGTCACTTTCGCCAGCCGCTTCCATTTTCTAGTACGACCATTTTTTGACGTATGTAACGCCTACGTTCACTGTGGGAGGACAGGTTGGATAGTTAGCCTGGCTCATTAAGACGCCTTGATAACGTCTATATTATAACCTATACCTATAATAGGTTAAGTAATAATTGTAATTACGAAGCAATAAGATGCTTATCTTAACATACTAAGAAGGTTAGGTAAGGTCGGTGTTTTCTATGAAGCTTTTCAAGGTAAACTAGTATGTTTAGTATGTCACATATGCACGTATTTATTAAGTCAATATTGACTATACGAAAATGCGAGAACGGGTTGCGTTCCTCAGTGACCACACTACAGCAGCTTAATACAGTATATTGTATTAATTTATGATATATCCCCATATATTTATATATTGATATATAATACAGTATATTGTATTAAATTATGATATATCCCAATATATTTATATATTGATATATTTCCCATTCACATCTGGCCGTCTTTAACTTTGGGACACAATAAGCCATCAAAACCATACCAGAATTTGAAACTTTTCTTCTGATAACACTAATTTCTTATCTTGGCCTTATCCTGGTGTGATGCTTCTCCTGATTGTTCTCTTACCCTATCCATCATAAGTAATTAATATAATGTCAGCTAGTTTCAATGTGTGTTCCATTTCACTATGTATTTTCAGTTAATCATTGTACATTAATGGTAGGTCTTATCGCTAATACATAATTGTTTGAACTATGGAGATAGTCAAAGGGGAGCTGCTGTTTATTATTAGTCTTCACAATGCACTACTTGTTTCTTAATCTCATATGTCGTTTATCTACTGGAAGCGAAACATGGATACAGCGCAAGGATTTCAGGTATTGTATCCTTATTAATACAATAGGTTGCCATATAATACAACCTGAGTTTAGATTTATCTCTAAATTGCTCAATATGATTACAGTCTTAAGATATAATTCTGAAGATCTTTATGAACCTGTCTGTTCTACTGTAGAGTTGTAACAGTACTTGAGTACTTTTACTCGGTACGTGAGTACTTTTACTCGGTACGTGAGTACTTTTACTCGGTACGTGAGTACTTTTACTCGGTACGTGAGTACTTTTACTCGGTACGTGAGTACTTTTACTCGGTACGTGAGTACTTTTACTTGGTACGTGAGTACTTTTACTCGGTACGTGAGTACTTTTACTTGGTATGTGAGTACTTTTACTCGGTACGTGAGTACTTTTACTTGGTATGTGAGTACTTTTACTCGGTACATGAGTACTTTTACTCGGTACGTGAGTACTTTTACTCGGTACGTGAGTACTTTTACTTGGTACGTGAGTACTTTTACTTGGTACGTGAGTACTTTTACTCGGTACGTGAGTACTTTTACACAGTACGTTAGTACTTTTACTCGGTACATGAGTACTTTTACTCGGTACGTGAGTACTTTTACTCGGTACGTGAGTACTTTTACTCGGTACGTGAGTACTTTTTACTCGGTACGTGAGTACTTTTACTCGGTACGTGAGTACTTTTACTAGGTACGTGAGTACTTTTACTCGGTACGTGAGTACTTTTACTCGGTACGTGAGTACTTTTACTCGGTACGTGAGTACTTTTACTCGGTACGTGAGTACTTTTACTCGGTACGTGAGTACTTTTACTCGGTACGTGAGTACTTTTACTCGGTACGTGAGTACTTTTACTTGGTACGTGAGTACTTTTACTCGGTACGTGAGTACTTTTACTCGGTACGGGAGTACCTTTAATTGGTACGTTAGTACTTTTACTCGGTACGTGAGTACTTTTACTTGGTACGTGAGTACTTTTACTCGGTACGTGAGTACTTTTACTCGGTACGTGAGTACTTTTACTCGGTACGTGAGTACTTTTACTCGGTACGTGAGTACTTTTACTTGGTACGTGAGTACTTTTACTCGGTACGTGAGTACTTTTACTCGGTACGTGAGTACTTTTACTCGGTACGTGAGTACTTTTACTTGGTACGTGAGTACTTTTACTTGGTACGTGAGTACTTTTACTTGGTACGTGAGTACTTTTACTTGGTACTTGAGTACTTTTAGTCGGTACTTGAGTGCTTTTAGTCGGTACTTGAGTACTTTTAGTCGGTACTTGAGTACTTTTAGTCGGTACTTGATCTATCCTCCGATGAATGTCCTCCCATGGTGGCTCTCCCATGGTGGCTCTCCCATGGTGACCCTCCCATGGTGGCCCCTCCCATGGTGGCCCCTCCCATGGTTGCTCTCCCATTGTGGCTCTCCCATGGTGACCCTCCCATGGTGGCCCCTCCCATGGTGGCTCTCCCATGGTGGCTCTCCCCTGGTGACCCTCCCATGGTTGCTCTCCCATGGTGGCCCCTCCCATGGTTGCTCTCCCATTGTGGCTCTCCCATGGTGGCCCCTCCCATGGTGGCTCTCCCATGGTTGCCCCTCCCATGGTTGCTCTCCCATGGTGGTCCCTCCCATGGTTGCTCTCCCATGGTGGTCCCTCCCATGGTGGCCCCTCCCATGGTGGCTCTCCCATGGTGGCCCCTCCCATGGTGGCTCTCCCAAGGAGGCCCCTCCCATGGTGGCCCCTCCCATGGTGACCCTCCCATGGTGGCCCCTCCCATGGTGGCCCTCCCATGGTGGCTCTCCCATGGTGGCCCCTCCCATGGTGGCTCTCCCATGGTGGCTCTCGTATGGTGACCTTCCCATGGTGGCCCCTCCCATGGTGACCCCTCCCGTCCCACAACAACCACCACCAGAGTAAAGTAAACTTCATGTTTCAGTGGGAGGGGAAAAAAATGGTCAAAATGGTCAATTTTGGCCAAAAATTAACTGAATAAACACGTGGGAAAAAAGTTTGGCTTTAACGCTTGCAGGTAATTATGCCTTTATTGCTCGTCTGTGTTTGTGTCTGTGTCTGTGTCTTTGTCTGTGTTTGTGTCTGTGTCTGTGTCTGTGACTGACAGGACTGTTAGCGAACATTTGTCTCCATTCTGCATGTTTGTTCCTGTCTATCTGTTACTTGTCTTAAAACACAGTTTCAGGTAAACCAGTTTCTCTGACGTCACATGTGTGGGGAGAAAAGTCCCACATGACTCATAGATCGTTAACGCAACAGGTAGAGAAATAAAATGCCGCTAGTTTAATACCATAATAAATAAATACATTAGTTAGTCATAAAATATATTAAAAATGACGACTTTACTGTAGAAAACGGGATTTAAAATACCCGCGCCGTGGCTGTCTCGTCGCAAAATCTATTAACTTATGTTACATTAAAATCATCAGTCTCAGAACTGAAACCAAAATAAAATGAATCTACTAAATTATTTATATAGTTAATAATGATTTGACATCAAACCCCATTGTTGTTGGTGGTGGAACTTGAGCCGTTTAGTCACCAAGACTTGACAGAACTAAGTAAAGAGTTAATTTTTTTTCTAATTGTACATCATTTTTGGCCATTAAATTGTATTTAGGATTCCATCGTTAAGATGCAGGGAACCATTAGTCGAGAGGGTAAGATTTAATTAGTTATTAATTACCTAAATTCATGTATTCACCTAGTTGTATTCATCTAGTTGTGCTTGCGGGGGTTGAGCTCTGCTCTTTCGGCCCGCCTCTCAACTGTCAATCAACTGTTTTTACTACTACTACTATTTC